GACTTTCGGAAGCAAAAGAGGAAAAAACATTAATTTTTTTTTTTTTAATTGTGCTTCTGGAACAGCGACCAGAAGCAGATAAATTTAATGGTTTTATCAACTATTCAACAACTGATGATTGTAAATTTTTTCCTTTCTTATGAAAAATATTCAAGAAAAGTTGGTTCACAAAATTGACATGATACCATTTTTTGTATAATCCAACATTTCATAAATATTATCACCAGGAAAGGAGAAATTTACAATTGCCAATTGTTGAATGGTTGATAGATAAAACCAATAAAATAGTGCTTTTTTTTTTTTTTTAACTGTGTTTCTGGGACAGCAATCAGAAGCAGACAAATTTATTGCTTTTATCAACCATTTAACAACGGGTGATTGTAAAATTTTTCCTTTCTTGTGATAATATTTAAAAAATTTGACAGAATAAAAATGACATCATTTTTTGTATAATTTGTAAGAGTTTTATAGCTAATTGTTTTTTTTTTTCTTTTGATATTGCAATTAGCTCGTAACTGCTTTGAAGTTCGTAACCAAAAGAACATTAACAACGGTTTTTTCTCCAAAGCTGTGTTGTAAGTTTTGGTTTTTGGTGGCTACAACAAAAGTGTTCATAACTGTTCGCAAAATGTTGGATATTTTTATATATATAAGAAACAATTGTTTTTCCCTGTTAAAACTTGTTTACCTACAAAGGAAGGTCATACTTTTAACTGAGAAAAAAAAACAAAACAATGTATAAAATTGCACATTTGTTCAAAGAGCATTTCGTTGCGGCGGTTAAACAAGAAATCTTTTAGAAATCAAAGTTGATTAAGTTGAAAAACAGCAGTAAAGGTTACAAAAAAAAAAAAAGGTATGGCTGAGAATTGCAGAACTGATCTGTAAAAGTGAAGGTAACACAGTTTAAGACAGTTTTTAATTATCGGCAGTTAAAAAGATATGTCTTTTTTTTTTTATTAGTTTTATAATCCATAAAACTTTGTTATAAAAGTTTTAATTTGGAAGTTGTTTTACAAATGCACTAAGCAACAGACCCCAAAGAAGCATTTCTAATTTTTTATATATTAGCTCTATGTTTGGGAAATGATCTTATAATTAGGTCTTAAGTTGAAAAGTAGAAAAATGAAAATAAGTAAGTTTAGTGCAAAAAAACAAAAGAAAAAGGAATGAACTAATATATTAGAATCTGTAAAAAAAAAAAAAA